CTGTTTCTTATTAATAACTTAATATATTTAAAATTAGGAAATAATGTAGTATTTTCTAGTCGGAAACAATAATATTGGTGTTCATTTATTATACAAATTACTAATATACCTATGACTTACGGGAATTTGCAAACAAAGCATTTATTCTACTGGGAAATTAAATGTTTTGATCATTTTAGTTATCGTCTTTTTCTGATAGTATAAAGAAGGAACTTTGTGCGGTTTAATTAGTGTGCATGTATACTATTATACTATTTCTTTGAAGGAAAATACAATTTTCTTTATCAAGTTGTAGACCAGGCAAAATGGCAGAAAAATGGAAATGAGCTTAGTTGTTATTATATTGTTATTCTGGTTTACTGTTTCTTAACTTAATATATTTAAAATTAGGAAATAATGTAGTATTTTCCAGTTGGAAACAATAATATTCCATTGCAATTCAATGACCGAATACCTTTGCACAATCAGTTTTCTCATTTATTAATTGTGTGCAGAATAAAACCTTTAGTGCAGAATAAAACCCTTAAATACTTTATATCTTTCATAGCATGGTTGTATATTTTATAAGAGGCAAAAAGACCATAGTATAGTTACAAGTGTTATGATATAAGACAAAATTGTGAGAACTCAAAAAAGTGTTCCCTTACAAAAATGCCAATCAGAAGAACAAAATGATGTGATTGCATACATCTCACTGTTATTCAGCTTACTTAAAATTATCATCATCAACTTCAACATCATTCGTTGTCGTACCCATATAATTTCAAGATGCTGGTCCTTTCTTTGGTTTTATTAAAATTCTTTAAATGGTAAAGAAATGATCTGCGTCATGTGAATTGATATCTAATATTTGAAGCTACAGTTATTCTTCCAATAAATATGTCTATAATAACAAGAAAAAGATCATCATCAAGGAGAGTAATCTTTTGTTTTGGTTTTAAGCAACTCTTGATTATTTCCTCTGAAAAGTTTACATTTAATTTATTTCTTCTGAGATTTATCAACTCGATGTTACGCTTCATTACCAAACATGTTTCTAGCAATGCTCGGATAGCCTTTGGCAGGATATTATACACTGAAAACAAACATCTTTGTTATATCGATATTGTCTAATGATTTGAACAGTCAAGCTTACAAGGAAAATAACACTATACTTTGAATCTTGATAATGTAAATGAAATTCTTTTCCAGAATGGCTAATTGCTTACTACTAGAATAGTTTGTCAAAACGAAAACATTAAACAAAACCAGAAAGTACCAGTTCAGTTTGTGAAACAAAAACTTGATATAGAATCATGACTATAAGCAATCATTTTTGTTTCTAATAACATTATTTTTAATAGAAATAATAATGCACGTAATAGAAGGTAAATCAAATAACACTGTAACATTAGTAGCCATACAATACAATACAATATATTTCAATTATCTTCAAATTTTTAGAGTGTTTCTATGGTAAAATATTTCTATAAAAAGCAAAACAATGTTGAAATCAATAATATTCTAGAAGAATTGCTGACAAAGGGATAAAGTTATGTGTAGTATAAGATGAGTAAGCGATTAATTGTCTTCAATCCCGGTACTAGTATCATTTTACAATTTTATCTTGACATGTCCTCAAAAAATCGTACCTTATTCTTACTTCATATTAGCTTTCCGATAAAAGAAATGGATGATATTTTTGTGTGCAAGAGGGTATTTTAATCTCATCGAGTGAGGTTTAGAAAATGTATTCTCACGATTGGCTTATACTGGGTCTCAAGTCCACGATTTTACCTCGAATAATTATATAAATGTGTTTGCCCCAGCGTGAGCCTCAATTTCAGACGATTTCCATATATATAAGAATTCCAACAATCATCTATTTTATATTGAATTTTTTTCACGTTTCGCTAACGGAATGCAACGGACGTGACACCAAAATTACAACATAACGCCATATGGCGCAAAAATAAAACATTACGTTTATAATATACATTATGATATTATTTTTTGTAAACATGTATAAAATACGTTACGCTTACCGATTTCTAATACAAAAAAACTCCCTATAGTACACTTGTATACAGTAAGGAACAATTTAAACGACTCTTTCAAAGTACATGAAGACTAGAGCTCACAGAAATAAATTAAAATAATTGTTATCGCTTATTTTACTTGCACAAAATTTAAATCAAACAGTTCCAGAGGACAATAAATACAGTTTATCTCTATATATAATTTACAAGATGGGGATTTTAAGACAATTGTTCTTCTCACATAAAGGTCAATGTACTTTCCTGCAGTGAAAGATCAGTGAGTATATCTTCAGTCATGAATAATTGCCAGCTTGAGATTGCTTTGAAACGTAGCGAAATATTAGTATCCAATGTGCCAAGTATGCTTTTTTTTACAGCGGATAAATGTGTCATGTTACCTTCATGTAATAAGTCTTAGTACCTCAAAAACAAAATGCTAAATAGACAAGCCTTTGTCCTCTAGATTTATATATTATGTTGATGATGTCATATCAGGACAAGATCTCTAATGTTACAGATGCTAATGTTTCTATTATTTGGTTGTATTTTTATTTCAAGCCGGAGGTATATATTAGGCCATTTATAAAAAATTTTGTATACTTGAACATTATATAATAAAAGGTAATGTAACATAGAACACAGTTTGTTATTTAAACGAAAAAGATGCATGTCATTTAGTTAAAGTCATTAAGATCCCAATAACACATTTATGCTAGTATCTAGGTGACACTTTTGTAATATTTTGCGAATTTATGTCTTAAGATTTTTTATTGGTCACATAGCAATAACAATATTTTAAATGAAATGTCAATGTATGCATGTCATGTAATAAGCTCAAAAGTTGTAGAAACACACCTATTGTTCACCAACTCCTCGAAATAAATATATTTGGCATATAGTTTACATATCTGTCATATATCATTGTATCATAACTTCGGTTTGGTCTGTTATAATGTATCATTATGCATCATTATGCAGCAAAAATTAACCTACAGAAATACTTATTTTTATCATCCATAAAACCTTAGTAGCACTTCATCTCTCTTCATTGAAACAAGTGATTCAAGCAGTAAAAACTTTTACTCTAGGATATTATCTATTGCCAATGCTACTATGTTCTCATTACTGAATCATCGTATGAAAAGTTATACTTACTTGATGGCTTTTGTTTTATATGTGAACATAGCTATATCATAAATGCCACTAACAATTGTTGACTGTAAATCATTCAAAAATTGGAAGAAACAGTTCGGTCGAATTTTGCATTTAGCACTTATGACGAAGAAGATGTAACTTGTTGTATCATATTATTTGTTTCTGGTTACATTACATCATATCTTGTAATCTTGTAGTACATTGAATCATTCTAGTGTGAGCTAGTTTAGCCTTGTTTATAGGTAAAAATTCGTCAGTCAGTCATCTCACGTACGTATGCGATGTCACCTGTATTGAATTACCTTGCGGTATACACTTATAAAAGAGGAGGCATTTTCAGATTTGCTAATACATAATATGAGCATTGCTAGATATAAGATGTTGATGTAGTTTACTCTTATTTAGGGGAATATAGTAAGATTGTAGTAAATTTAAATTGTTTAATTATAGTGTTATGTAACTTAAGAATATACGAAATATATATGTGTGGTTGGATATTTGATTACAATGACAAAGGATTGTTTTAGATGATTATTTTTGTTTTTTTTGGAAAGTACATAAGACTGTGTTTGTTTGTTTTGTATTGTTATTTTTTGTGGATTTTTCTATTTATTTATTTATTTGTTTATTCATTTATTATTATTATTGTTATTATAATTATTATTATTTACTTTCTGCTTGTTTTTTCTCTCCGGTTTTTATGGGTTTATTTACCCTAAAATGTAAAAGTAAATTTGGTCAAACTTGCATGCAACAATGTGTAGTCGGCGTTAAGTAAGCGAAATAATTAAGGTTATGTTGTATAGTGTAATAAACGATTTATAAAATAGAAATCATATAAAAAAGTATTTCATCAAAGACCTAGGTAATTTACTTAGAAACGCATTGAAATAAACTGATATGTTTGTTATATAATAGTAGAGGCCAAATAATTTCTTTATGAAAAGTTGAGCAACTAAACACGTACGTTTAGTAAATTGAAACATTTATAATGTCATATAATTACTGTTTGACAACAACATAAAAAAACACACACAAAAAATTATCTCAGTTAATAAACAAATAAAATATAATAAAATAAATGAATGAATGAATGAATGAATGAATGAATTAATTAATTAATTAATTAATTAATTAATTAATTAATTAATGAAATGTTGAAATCTTATAAGTTCGAATAAAATTAAATCTGTGTTGATGAATATTCGTCTGTATTATATTTTATTATGAATTCTGCTTTTATTGGAAATAGGTTTGGTCTGATAGAAAAGATAAAGTGTCTTTCGATAACAGTCAGTCCAGTTGTGTTTGAATTAGATATGAAACACTTCATTATGATGATTTTCATGTTATTTATTGAGTGCATGAGGTACACTGCGCTATTTCAATACTCTACTTAAAACAACATCAAAAATCACAAGCAAGCAAGCAAAAATACTAGAACGAAAAGAAGATAATATCCGTCATGAATGACTTCCAAAGAATGTATTCCTTGAAGCAAATAGAAATTCATTTTGCCAACAATGCGTTACATTGTAAAACTGTCTGCGAAATCTATTGTCAAAATTATTACCTATTGTTATTGAGGTTTTTCACAGCTCACAGCAAAGCGTTCTGAAGACAAAAGTATTTGCTGAAAGCATCCACTTTTTGTCGTCTTACGCTTACAAATAATTAATATACCTTAAAGCTACAGCTACGATATCTCACAATTCATTTTATATACTACAGTTTACAGTCGGACGATAACAGAAGAAATGATGATTTGTAGGCATATAGTTCGGTTGCTTTTTTTATTCCTCAAATGAATTTTCTTTTCTTTTTCAGAGCATTCAGTATTGCTTAGAAAGTTAACAACAATGGAAGACGGGAAAGCGACGAGTGTCAGTTTAGAAACATTAGAGGCTCACGACGGTGAGAGTTCGAAAAATGAATCCACTGAAAATCTTGACAATTCATGCCTTGGGAAGGCAAAGAGGATTTTAAAAGCTGTTTACAAAGGGGCTAGATCGTTAGTAGGACTGGCCATTATTCTTATAGCATACGCATTAATTGGTGCGCTTGTATTTATGTTAATTGAATCAAGACATGAACAGAAGTATAAATCAAATATCACAGGAATACGGGACACCATGATTCAAGAATTATTAATAAAATCTGCCCCTATAACTGACAAAGACGCCTGGAAAAATCATACAAAAGCATTGTTACTTAACTACGAAAGTTCAATCCGGGATGCTATTAAGAACGATGTGCCTTCTGATTCTACCGAAGAGGTTTGGACAATGTGGAGCAGCTTATTCTTTGTTTTTACAGTATTTACAACTATTGGTATGTACCCTGTAATGTGTTGATTACTGTCTGATTACACAGCTACGAAATTACGTGGTTGTTTTTTTTTTCAAATATGGATCGTTTGAATACATACAATGAATTGTTTGTTTAGAATGTTCTGGTAGCATTGAAATTATAATGTTATAAATAAAATAATATTGTCTTGGATATTTTAAATCAACATCTTAGAGTACCTTTCTTTGCAAAAGTATGAAATTAATATATCAGCCTTAATATGTCACATAGTTTCTTCATTTTGTTGCATAGACAACGGATAATGAATTAAACTAACTAACAATATCTTTAAATTTTGCACGATTAATAAATATCATAACTGAGAATTTATTTAAGAAAATTGGGCGTAACGATCCTACATTTTGAGCTGTTGTATCTGAAAGATTTTTACCTTTCTAGGTCATTTTAAGTGCAAATAATTCAGAACAAACTGTAACTACATTTTATTTTATTTTATTATCTCATTTGTTATTTTATTCTTAATCAATATTTGAAGTTAAAACATCTTAATCGAATATACATTTTGCAATTTTTGATGAGTAAACTTACAGCAATCATTTTCAACTATGAAATAAATATGTTGCATAAAGTTTTAGGGAATAAGAAATAAACAAAACTTTGAAATAACAGTTGGTGTTGTTTTTAAGAGTTGACTAGTATCTGCATGACAATGATCTGAAACAAGTCAAAACTCATTTTCAGGGGCACAAAACTCAAAAAGTAGGACCATGACCTCAAACTTTATTTTGCTTTTTTTCAATCATTATTCTCTTTAATCATCTGTTTATAAGTTTAAATGTTCCTTATTTTCCTTTGTAAAAAAATGATCAACTATGATCTAGGATGTGTGATAATGAATAATGATTAATATCTAACTTACACTGCATACACGTTTTAAATTACAGACATTTGATAAGAACAACATGATACAATTTAATAAGTTCATAAATTATATTTTAAAGCCTTTGTTCAGCTTGTATAGTGTATATGTAGATCAATATAATATTAAATATATAAAATGATATTTCTTCTTTTACTAAAATATATATTTTATGGTTTCCAGGTTATGGAAATTTAGCTCCAGTAACTGGACTTGGGCGAGTTTTATGCATAGTTTATGCTGGCATTGGTGTTCCCCTTGCCCTGCTTCTCTTGGCAGAATTGGGTAAGCGATTTACAATGGCACTTAAATTTTTATGGGCCTTCGTAAGAAGATATTACTATTACGGCTATTGCAAAAAGGTAAGGGAACGAAATCCGTTCCAGAGAAAATACGAACTTAATGATGATCACCTCCCAGATGACGAAGCCAAAAGTGAAGACGGTAAATCCGATGATAGAAGTCGAAGCGGCTCAAGGATAATATACGGTTATGAAGTAGATGACGAGTTCAACGTACCTATCACGATCGCTATTCTTATCTTGTTTGTATACATTCTACTTGGTGCCATGATGTATTCAATTTGGGAAGACTGGGATTTCATCGAAGCTATTTATTTTGTTTTTATATCACTATCAACGATTGGTTTTGGAGACATTTTGCCAGCTCATCAAAAGTTCTTCGTTGTCTCGTCAATTTACATGTTCATTGGCTTGTCGCTTGTCTCTATGTGTATAAATGTTGCTATTGAATTTTTTAATGTTGCCGCTGTACGTGCTAAAAGAAAAGTTGGTGAAGCAAAGAAGAAAATAGGAGACAAAGCAAAGCAAGCACATAGAAATGCAAAAGAAAAAGTAGCCGATATCAAAACAAATATTGCTGACGAGACGTCAAAATTCAAACACAAATCTGAAGAAAAAGTGAAAAAGTTAAGAACCAATATTGCAGATGAAACTTCAAAATTTAAGCAGAAAACTGATGAGAAAATTTCAGGAATTAAGACAAATATAAGTGAAGAAACAACAAAGTTTCGTAAAAAGGCAGATGATAAGTTCAGAAGGAAACCAAAAGAGCGCACGGAATCAAGCCCTGCTATAATTCCGATTCACACGGATAATACTTATGACGAAATTGGAACGGTTAAATCAGATACTGTTGAGGAGAAATTGTAAATATATATTATGAAGTATACATGAAATATGAAACAAAATCATAGGTATGACTGTCACAAAAAGTAATTAAATGTAATAGCGATTAGCACCGAACATTTGATGCTTTTCATTATTATGTAATTTGCTAAAATGTATTTTCCCTGCTATTGCAGACATTGTTATTGCTCAGAAAAAAGACTTGCCTTGCATTGTATTTATAACGTGAGGAATTTGTCATTTAATCATTTTATTCTTTCTTTACATTTGTATTTTGTGTATGGAAATATGCCAGCAAATGCTGATAAGACTGAAGTTGAGGATGTTTTCTGGGATTAAGAAACAAAGCTTTATAGCGTATTTACATTAAACATTGAATTAACTTACTTAGGAGTTTTAGGAAATGACATTAAATTGCGTAGCACATTTATATTTACGACTATAGGTGAAATCATAAGCATTTTGAATGCAAAATGGATAAAACAAAGAAGACAAAGATGTCATTGATGCGTTCCAATAAAACAAATTAAATACATTTTTTTCATTAATTTCATTATTACGAATGCATTATGTTTGTTGAATTTGTTATTCATTGTTTCGGTTCCAATCATGTATCAAATATGACTATTTTATTAATAAAAACAAGCATGTACCTTAATGACTTTGTTGCCAGTACAGCTAACTTTTCCTAATAATTCTCCGTATGAAATCCCGGAACTTGGCAGTTATTCATCTATATTATTGCGTGGACATACTTGTAACAGTTGAATTTATATTATGAATTTATATTAGCAACTCATAATACATCACGTATTGGTAAGTTAAAATGAGAACTGTAAACATTTGATGCAACATTTCTATATATTGAATCAGTAACTTACATCAAAGTACATGTGTATTTTCATCTGATTAAAACAAAAACAGCAGAACTGTATCAAACATTTAATGAGAATGCTTTTTTTATGATGAATAATCATCTGTGTGTTCTGTTTATTTTCCTTGTAACTCCCATTTCAATTCCTTTGATTAAAATGATATTTTAATGGTGTAAAATGTAAAGTTATAATTTGAAATGTCTGACATGTTCTAGCATTGTTGATTAATTTTTGATGTAATAGGATAAATATCGACATGTTTTTTTTAGTTTAGTTTATTCCATAGGTGTTCATGCAATAAATGTCGATATAACATGATTTATCAATGTGAATTATTAACTGCATTGCATATTCCTGAATAATAAACTTATATATGGAATTGCAAACGCATCACATGATTATCTCACAAACGACAAATATTGTTTATTGTTTGAGGCAGAATTATATATGTTCCTAAGATTATTTAATTATTGTTTTACCTTTGATTAGTTAATGATGGAGACATTTCTATAAATAGGTTTGGGCGTAACATGTAACATGTTGTATTAAAGTTAAGAAATTAGGATTGATTTATTTACGTACGTTATTTTTTAACATGTTAAATGTTTTTAATTCATATCTCAAAATAATCTGTCAACATTATCTAAGCCTCTGAATTATTTCTTGTTATTTTATGTAACACAATTGATGCGTTTTCCGCTCTTTTCACGTTCATGTCCATTTTCCTATCTTTGTTTTAAAGTTTGCCGTTTTTCTTTAATGTTTAAATATGCGTGTACTTTTTTAGTTCATTTAAATTCTTTTTTACACAATTGTTCATTTGCTCATATGAAATGTCTGCACATGTTAAAATATTACATGTACTTTAAAAGTCCCTAATTGTCTCATTCCAAATAAAATGACTAATATTTTGCAGCGATGCCTTTGTTGTTTACTTGCTGTTGTGTTTAGCTCACCAGAACCTCGGGTGATTTATAAGTGTCAAAGAAGGATTCTCCGGCGTCCGTCGGCCTTCGGCATCGTCGTGTTATCCTCTGAAACTGCTGGACAGATACTTCAAAATTGGTCTGTAGACTCCTTGTAACAGTTAATCTTAGAGTTGCTCATATAATGTGAATTGCGCCCTTGTAGGGGTCAACACAGCTAAAAGAAAAAAAACTTTAAACATCTTCTACTGACCTAATTGATTAATGATCGACGCAGTTTTTCTTAGGTAGTCTTTTATCAAATTTTCCAATATTAATTTTATTGGCGCCTTTGCTAAAAATAGAACAAAAACTAAACATCTTCTACTGAACTAATTGTAAGATGGCCAAATACTTTGTCCGTAGCATTCTTAGGCAGTCTTCTATCAATTTTGCTTATATTAATTTAAATGGTTTCTTTTAAGAGCCTCTATAGCTAAATTAGGAAAGACACCTTCTAATGAACTAATTGACTGATGATCATCAAACTTTGTCTGCAGCATTTTTAGGTATTCTTTTTTATAAAAATGTTCCAGTATAAAAAGAAAAGTAGAAAGCGTGATTTGACATGCCAGATGTACAGTATCAATGAACTTGGGCAATTTGTGAAAGCTTCGTTTTCATTATAAACAATCAGTGTCCTGCAACTATATAATCAGAGGGCCAAATTGCTGGACTTGCCTTTCGGCAAGTTCAATTTTAAAGTTATTTCTACCACTGATGAGCAATTCAAGGTCATCATGGTCCTCTTGTTGTTTCGATTTTCCTCAAGTTACTTTTAAAATCGTAAAATTCTAAACAAATGAAATAACATAACAATGGCCTTGTGAAAAGAAAAATATTAATTTGATATTTTAATGTCCTTTCGGATGCATTACAATTCGAGACATATTATCAAGATATTACTATTTTAAATGGTTTGTTTATTAAAATAAAAAAATATGTTGTGTTATTTTTATGAAGGTGACTTAATGCCTGTGATAAAGGTTTTAAAGTAATAAACAACGATTATAGTTCATAGCAAGAGTTCTGTTTATTTATATATATTCTCTGTAGTATGATACTTAATAAAGAATAACATAGAATATATCATTCCTCAGATCACGTTAGCAGGTCAAAGTTCTCTGTTCACAGACCTCGATGAAACTCCAGCGGAAACGATACCTACCCCCCCCCCCCCCCCCTATAATAATAATAATAATTTTATTCGGTAAAAGTGTACATGACATGGCAATGACATAATGATGCATAATGATACAATACATATAACAATAATCAAAATATTAAAGAGACTAGAAATATCACATGACATAAGTATACGACAAATATAAATATATGAGCCATGTAGTGCCCACCAATACCAGGGATAACACAAAACAGAGGAAAGGATTCCTCTTATTTCCATTGTGGTCCCTGATATTGGAGGCATGACACAGAAAGTCATGTTAATTTGTATGAAATTGAAATTAATTCTTTTACAAATAAGACATAAATTGCAATAATTTAGTTGAGATCACAATATATCACAGTCCAAGTTTGTATCACATTAAAATCACAGTTCAAGTTTGTATCACATCAATAAATCATGAAATAGTGCATCACAGAAATTGTCAGTCAAACTGTAAAAATTTAATAAAAATATTATAAAACGTTAAATGTGCAAGCTAAAAATGGGTAAATTACTAAAGGACACAACATATGTGTGTTGTGCTTAAACTTAATAATAAGTAAAATCTGGGACTCTATTAAGACTATTAAAAGATTCAATACTATTGAAAAATATACTAAAATTAACTGGCCATTAAATGGGCTTTGATGGCATGCTTGAAGGTTTGGGAAGATTGAATATCTCTAAGATTTTGAGGAAGGCCGTTCCATAGTGAAATACCTTTAAAAGCAAAAGTTTTTCTACCAAAGCTTCCAACCTTTGGTAAAGAAAATCGTCCTGTGTCACTAAAAGAATAGCTTACACAGGAATCTTATGTTGAAAGTGCAGACAGTCTAGACCTGGTACAGCGGTCATGGACCTGATTAAGGGGTACAAAATGCTCCTGAAGGTATTTTGGGGCTGTGTCAGACTTTATTTTATGGACATGGCAAAGAGTTATCTGATCAACTCTTTTGGAGACCGGTAACCAGTTAGGAACCTTAAATTGCTCTGGCCCAATATGTGACCTGCTGTCCTTATTCAAAACAAAACGAACCAATTTATTCTGGGTTGTTTGGAGCCTTTTCTTCCAATACTGAGTCAAACTTGGGTACCAAAAAGAACAAACATAATCAAAATGGCATTGAATTAAGGACATGACCAAGAGTTTCCTAGTGTGGAGATCCAAGAATTGACTTTTCCTATACAAGTATTTCAGCCGGGCATTTGCTTTCGTAACCACTGACCGTGCAATTTCTTCACAGGAAAGGTTCTGGTCCAAAGTTGCACCGAGATATTTAACTGAGCTGGTAGCCTGGATATTTATACCATTACATGAAATATTTAAATTGCCTTTTGACCTTAACCTTGGTTTGAACCAAACAGAATAGATTCTGTTTTGCCAAGATTGAAGTGAAAGCTTTGTTATCGACAAGCCATTCACTAACATACTCCATCTCAAGTGATAAAAGAGATTCAATGTCGGAAGTACTTTTACCACACACAAGAATCCCAGAGTCGTCGGCATACAATAAAAGTTTGTTTCTGACAACAGCCGACATATCATTAACATAAATTAAAAATAGAAGGGGACCCAATATTGATCCTTGGGGTACCCCACAAGTGACGGGAGCCTGGCTGGAATAAACACCAGATATCTGAACTAACTGTTGCCTATCTGAAAGATAAGATTGAAACAATCGGACAGCATCAGAACTGAGGCCAATTGCATTCAGTTACATTAATAAAATACTATGATTGACCGTGTCAAACGCTTTCTGCAAATCAAGGAGAACCATTCCCACCATGTTACCTTTATCCATTTGAAATTTTACAAAATCAGATAAATGGATAAGACACGTGTCTGTAGAAAAACCGCGTCTAAAACCGGACTGAAAACTGTATAAAATCTTGTTCTTACTCAAATACCCTTCCATTTGATCATATATGGCCCTTTCAAAATTTTTTGAAAAAACACACAAAATAGACACTGGCCGATAATTACCGACTTCAGTTTTATCACTTTTCTTATAAAGAGGGATAACCCGTGCATTCTTAAGATCATCGGGAACAGAACCCTGAATAATGGAGAGATTGACTATATGAGTCAAAGGACATGCTATAACTGTTGCACTGTCCCTTAAGAACCTACTGGGGATACCATCTTACCCAGTGGCCTTATTAGCACTGAGCCTATTAAGGTAATTTAGAATTTTGTTCTCTGAAACAATTGAAAATGAAAAGCTATCTGGAAAAATACCTTTAGACACATAAAATTTTCTTACAAAAGATTTATCATATTCTCACCTTCAAAAATAAAAAAGAGAAATAATAAAAAGTATAATCAAACTAATTAAATGAATTTCTACATTTTCAATGACACTGCAAACGATCACAAGTAATGCCTGACAGAAATCTGTACACATGTGTTATTCTAAAATGAAAAATAAAACGTTTTGTTACGTGACACCAGAAAAAAAATGAAAACTCTGGAATAGGTATTAACTTATCTAATACCTTTGATATGATTATTTATAAACATGGTCCAGCACCGAATCTCCGTCGGAAATTTATAAGGGGTTCCTTTTGTTTCTTCTTTGTTTTCGTCTTGAAATATAACTGATAATGGTAATGCTTTTTCGATATCTCTAATTGATGCCAATTTCTTTTAAGATTTATCCGAGAGTTTATCTAAATGTTTCTTAAAACTTTACTGTCCGATAAGTTAGTATTGATTATTTGGTTCTGTTTAAACCCTTTTGAGGTCGCGTGAACTACGTTGCATTTTTCATTAATACATGATACGAAAAATATACTTATTGGCCAATTACCTAAGCAATCATTTTCTTCTGTTGCTTTTTTGAAGAATGAACCGTTGTTTTTTCGAGCAAAACTTTTTAAATTAATACATTTTTGCATTGTTTGGCATTGGTTGGGTGAACAGATTCATTTAAAAAAGTATTGCAATGTGAAAACAACATTATTTTTTATTTAAGTGATGATTTTACTTCTATGTTTTGTTACCTTCCCAAATGAATCAGCATAATTTAAAATAAATTTTTATCATTAATTCAATAAAGATATTATAGGAGAATATCTACTGATGCCTTTAAGTCTAGATTTATCATTTCACCACAAGAAATATATGCAATCAGTTCAGATAATTGCATATAAACGATATTGCCAGCTTATGAATCTAAATGCCTAAGAACGACGATTAGATATAAATATCCAGATCCGCACAGAGCACGCACGACATTGCTTTTTGTGAAAAAGATATAATTCCTTAATCTTTTGGCAGCATATTTGACGCTAAGACATACAGAGCATTTATATTAATTTTTATTATAATCATAATCACAAAAAGGAATGCATATTAAAAATCATATCTATTTTTCACTTAAGAAAGGAAAAGAAATAAATAACACAAAAGACGCATGCTTAGTGTATGAGATGCAATACATTCTATGCAGCTAACCAGCGTGTTGGATGTCATTTCTTGTGAGGGAGTTAATAAAATTTGTGGGTATAAAATGTCTTCTGTCTACTACCCGATGAAAATAAAAACTTGAGACAAACTCGTTTCATACTTTTACATTTAATTGAATTAAGTATTTAGATATTGCACGATAGTTCAGAAATGATCAATAAAACATTATTTTTCTATAATTCCACATTATTCCCTTAAGGTATTAGCATCCTAATGCATTACCTCCGCTTTGAAGAATATTCAAATAGGCTAGAACTACTGTTAACTACATTGAAAATAAGGGCCATGGGTTCAATCCCCAGAAGGGTCAACT